CGCCTCGCCCCACCCCGCCACACCACGCCATTCCCCGCCATTCCCCGCCACGCGCAGCAACGCAATGTTGATTCAGCCGTGGCGAACACAGACTTCCCCCTCTTCCTTCTTGTTTCAAAGTCGCGGCTATTGATGCAACGAAACCCGGGCACTAGGATCAAAGTATCTCTGCGATCTGCGACGTTTGAAAAACAAATAATAAAAATCTCATAAATGTTTTTGGGAACGGGTTACAGAAATTTCTTCACCGAATCCAAATCGTGGGTGGACGGCCGGAGGACATTCGACACCTTCCCGCGAGGAAGGCTTGGCCGAGAGACCACTGCTGACAACGGGTTGATCGGCCGGAGGCTGCTGCTAAGACTCACAATCAGTTGATGCAGTTTTCGTATTTAAGTAAGTGAGTCTTTCTTAGCAGCCTCCCGCCGGAGAAAGACTCACTTAGATACGCAAACCGCATCAACTGATTGTGAGTCTTAGCAGCCTCCCTCCGGCCAAGCCGTTTTCAGCAGCGTGGTAGAATCCACGTGGATGGGACATGCCGTTTCCCCTAGGGTATCGGAGCTGTTGTGCAGCAGAGCACCCCCCCCCCCCAAACCCCAATCCCTCTCGGGAATCTAATTATTCCCCAACACGCGCCACAATGTCGGACCGAGATTCCATGAATTGCCGTTGTGGACTGCGGTTCTTCCAGCTCCAGCCGCTCTCTCGGGACGGGGCGTCATGATCGCGGTCGCGAGCAGCAACAACGTTAGCTTGAGCCGAGGGGGCATCAACTCCGGGAATCATGTGTACGCTTGCCTGGTAATCATCAGGGTGAAATTAGTCGAAATCAACAGGAATCGCGGGGAATTCGCGGGAGACTAGTGGAACTAACTGGTACAAATTGGTCGAAACAAGGGTTTTCTACCATTAGAAAACGTAAGGGATAAATATGAGCGGAGGGGAATCACTGAGAATCAAGTATTTGGGGAATCACGTGTACTCATCAAGAGGGAGTTATTTCCCCCTCGGCGTGAGCGTGAGCGTGAGCGCTGCACAACTCAACAAGAAGTGAAAAGAAACGTGCACGCAGGCCCAACGTTTTTGTATAGATTTGGATACCACATATCAACTTGGAAAATTTTCCTGTAGAGGTTTCCTGACAGTGACGCGTCACGAGAAGAAATTACAAAAGGTGACGAAATGCAGCCCAGTCCTAAAATCAGTCCACCAAATTTTGGACCGATATTCAATTAAACACAGATTTTACAGCTTTCTCAACTTTCATGGGAATTTGTTTTTCCATGGAGTTGAGACCAACACCATGGTGAAAGACACACCATGGTAGCATATGCACTATTTCCATGATACGTCAAATGGAAAGTTAGTTCCAACTCCATGGGGACATAAATTTCCATGGAGGGCCAAGCCGCTTCCTCATGGGAAAGAGGCTCGACATGGAAAGTGAGCAGCCACACATGGAAAACGGTCCTTCTGCCATGGAATAGTGTTCATGGAATTCCATGTAACGCATGGGATTTTAGGACTGGGAGACGCTCGTACCTGAACTCGACGAAGCCCTTGCTGAGCACGACGGCCAGGTAGTCACCGGTGAGGTCGTCCCTCTCGCCGGCCAGCAGCAGGACGCCGTCCCAGGCCTCGGGCCGGAACTCGACGTGCATGGAGACCTTCTTGTAGGCGGCGCGCAGCGCGGGGAACGCCAGCCAGCCGCGCCCGGAGAAGCGCGGGTAGCGCAGCGACACGTCTGCAACAAAGGAAGACCGGAAGTGTCAGACCGGAAATGTGAGACGGGAAGTGCACTGGAGAGAGGCGGACGCGCGCCGGGCGCCGGATCCGGCGAACGCAGAGGCGAACTGTGCCGTGAAGCGGAACAAGGGAATAAGTTCGACTCACATGTTCCTGCCCCTTTTATTGACTTGCGACGTTCACCCGTGTCGTCAAAAGCAACCGGAAGTGCTTAAAATTTGTTTAGGTACAAGTTGACTCATACCCCTTCTTCTACTTCCGGTTCCATTCTGTGGCGGCGCGACGTGTGATGTGTGACAGCCGCGCCGCCCAGACTTCACCCTCCGAGGTCACTGCATACCAGAGCATCGTGCTTGGCAAGAAGAAGAGTGAACGGGAGGAGGCGCCGTCAACCCCGCCCTGAGGGCGAGGGGCGAGGCAAGGGCGCTTGCTGAAGCGATTCTTCCGCGTCGCGGCTCACATCTCGACAGCTCTCCACCTCCTCCGCACCCTCCTCCCCCTCTTCCTATTCTCCACCCTCCCCCTTCCCACCCACTGATGCTGCTGCCGCTTGCTGGCGCTCTCTTCAAATCCCCCGGCAACATGTTGCCCTGCCTGCCCCCGCTCACGGCGCGGCTGCGGGCTGCAGCGCCAGCGGCCTGCGAGCGACAAGTCCCAGTCGGCGCACGCTCTTACCGTCCTGCGGCTCTGGATTTTCATTTTTTGGGAAAGTATCTTTGGGAAAGTTTTCAACATTTGTTTTAACGTCTGAATTCTTTCCCTGAGAGTTTCTTTTTCTTTTTCATTTATTTTTAAAAACTATTGCGTTTTTCCCATTTTTCCTGGATTTAAAAAAAAAACATTTTCGGAAACATTTTTGGCTTTAAAATCGTCCGCACCCAGCGGGCACTGGCACAGCAGCAGTCGGCGAGCCTCCAGACCCACTCGGTACTCACCGTCCTGGCACTGGCTGCCACCGCGGCCCAGCGGGCACTGGCACCGCTGCGTCCGCCGGCCGTCGGCGTCCTCGTCGGCGTCCAGGACACAGACCCCGCCGGGGCCGCAGTCCATGGGGCACGCGTCCACCGGGGCGGGGGGCTCCGGCTGCTCCAGCGCCTCCGACACCGGCACGAAGCGCACCTTGGGGGGCTCGGGGGCGCGCGGCGTGCTAGCCACGGGCGCGCTGGTCGAGGCTGGCCCCGGGCGCGGCGTCGGTCGCGGCACCACGACGTATGACGTGCCGTTGGCGCGCCGCTGGCCGTCGCCCGTGGCCTCGGCGACCTCCACCTTCTTGCCGTCCAGGCCGCCGGTCGCGTTGTCCTGCAGCGATGCGGACATGACGGCGCCCTGCTGGTACAGGATGTCCTCCTCCACATCGGACACCTCGTTGTGGCTCGGGTGGTCCTCGGGCAGGGACGTCACTCCCTTCGCGTCGACGACGGCGGCCTCGTCCGCGTCGTCGTCGTACTCCTCCGAGTCGTCCGTGTACTGCGTCGGCGGGGTCGCTGCAACACGACAAAATAAGGAACATGGGTTTTACAGCCGTAGGTTATCTCCTCCGAGGTCAGGTTTCCTCCAAAGTTTCCTGCCATGCTACTTCACGATGGGAATGCCATTATCGTGTGCCGCGCCACCGCAGCCTAATCCCACCCGAGACGTGCATCCCGCCTGCGGCCCCAGCGGAGGGGCTGCAAGGCTTCCACGGGGCTTTGGTTGGAGCAAAGTTGTTGTCGCAGCGACGCATCTTCATGCTGCATCGCGTGTGCACAAAAATATGCACGTAAACAACCCTAAAACTGGTTTCGCACACCCCTGAAAATGTACAGTACATTGCACTTATTGTTTTTCCAGTAACATTCCGACAAGCAGACCCGTCATCGGAACACTTGCGTGTAAATAACCGTTCATTTACACGCAAGTTTTCCGGTTACGGGTCTGCTTGATTCGCTTCCAACCGTCATCGTCGCAAATGGAACCATCATCTCGTAAGATAGAAGAAATCAAGGGTGTTTTTCCCACGGGCGATAGAGTTCGCGGAGTTTCAGACCCCCGGTCCACTAGACGGGAACAGTAAGCCGAGAGACGGAGCATCATCCAGATCAACGGGCTGAGGGACGCGGAAAAGTTGGATTGGTCGCTTGACTTAGCGGAGCATCCTTCGTCTTGGAATCAGCGCAAACAAACACTGACGCTGAAGACGTCATCCTCGCTGAGGGGCAAGCGGGCCGTGCCGCCAGAGAAGGGATCAACCCAGACAGCACGACCGTACACAACTGTTTAAAATAAACGCGGAAATGTGTGCTATAAAAATGATTGCTTAAATTTGTGCTAGTAAAAGTTAGAAATCCGGTAAGTGGGAAGTGAAGCTAATGCTCGCTCTCATGGCGCCTCGTAGGTAGGCAACCTAAGGCTTGCAGCGCATGCGTGTACAGCGGGCTGGCCTATCCCATGTTTCGCAGGCGCCGAGCCCCCGCAATAATGTACTGCAGGAATCCGACGAAACAGTACGTACTTCTTTGGGGATCCCAATAGGTGGCTGCGACTCTCTCTCTGTCTCTGCTTTACTCTACCTTATGATTGGTACTAACTTATGGGGCTTCTAGCCCTAATGTACCATCTTAGTTAAATAAATAAAATAAAATCAAAATCTCTCTCGCTGGATTTATATTTTTTATTTGCATGTATTTAAGCAATAATCCACCAATTGAATGCAACACTTCGCACAAAATGCGCACTAATTCGTCCAAAACGAAAGTAGGTTTCAGTAAGCGACAAACTGACAACCGCAATCAAAAGACCCGTGGGGACGGCGAGACGCACCAGTCTTTCGTAGGATGGGGGCGCGGGGACCTGTTGAGGATCTCTCTGTGTGTGTGTGTGTGTGTGTGTGTGCCTGTGTGTGTGCGAGGTGTGTGAATGTGTGTGCGGGCGCAGTGAGGGCATAGGCGGGTGTTCTTTGTCCTAGCTGCTGGAAAAGTCCGAGGAATAATGAAGAAGGTAGCCACACCACAAAAAAGGGAACATCGCGACCCCCCCC